AATTGAGATCAGGAAACATGTGTTTCCACAACCAAGTAATCACCTGATACTTTAAAATATCAAATCAATCCATTAATATTCAATAATCACATTGTATAGACTCAGGTTCAGAATCAGATATATTGTTTTTGGTTAGAAATCACAATCCTATTTTGCATCACTCAATACACACTGATCTTAAATTCCTTGTTTCTTGCTGTGTTTCTTAATACAAACAGAGATAATTTGTTAATTTTTTTATTGGAAAGGTAGATTTTATAGAGATAAGGAGAGACAGAGAAATACTTTGTACCTGCTGGTTCACTCTCCAGTGGCCACAACAGCCAGAACTGAGCGATACAAAGCCAGGAGCCAGAAGCCCCTCGCAGGTCTCCCACTGACTGGGAGTCCCAAAACCATGGGCCATCCTTTACTGCCCTTCCAGCTCACAAGCAGGGAGCTGTATGGAAGTGGAGCAGCTTGGATGTGAACTGGCACCCATATGTGATTTCGGTGGATGCAAGGCAAGGATTTAGCCATTGGGTCATTGTGGTAGGTCTGACAATTTTAATATAATAGCAGATAATTTTATCCAATAGTGTTAAACAAAACCAAAATGACCAACTTGTAGATTCATGGGCAATATTTAAAGATTTTTCTAAGCTTATATAGTGAAACAAATTCTAGTTTTGCAAATCATTACAATTTAATATAACTGAATTGCATTATAATTTTTTGTCCAGCTAAAACGGATGGGTGTTGAATATGAACACATTATGTGTAGGTAGGATCCTTATGGGTAAAGGAGCAGGAGTGATTTTTGTCTATGGAAAATGTGCATTAGCAAAAATCTATGCATGGATTTCAAAATCTTTCTGATCCAAGCTTATTGTTTGTTTATTTTCCACAAACTTCTGGAAATATCTTTGTAAAGTATTATCCTGACTACTCATAATGACCCCTAGCTTTCCTATGTTTCTTAGAATCACCAGATGGATTTGTTCATGGGAAAGCTACAGAAACTATTACTGAAGTGATAAGTTTTGACTCTTTAAGATGAATATCTTGCCAACTTTCTAACACTGACAAGACAATATTTTATGAATAAATCCAATACATTATAAACTTAGCAGAATTCAAAAATCACCCTTTGTTTTAGAAACTGAAGGTTATTACTGTTATGCAGCTTCATGGCTCTATCACTGAACACATGCAATCCTTACATTATTTAATATTAACTATATCCAAAATGTGAAAAAGCTTTTATATATTTTAGGAAATTAGAAAACAACATTTTGAGGCAGTCTGAAAATTTAAACTGTAACTACAGTAGGACCATTTTTTCTTTTATAACTTGGGTGGTCCTCTGTTCATTTTCTACATGAGAATTCTTAATAGGTCAGTATTAGGGGGCAAGTTGTGAACAATTCATGTAAAAATGACCAAGTGCTAGAATTTGATACTGAGCAGAATTATCTGAGAGGCTTTAAGCAACTTAAATTTTTCATGGACTATTTATAATAAATCCCTTCATTTGATATGGCCAAAAATCAAATGCTACTCTCCATTCTTTCAACGCGAACAAAGTTTTGCATCATAATAATGTATTTTTATATACTTTCTTGACTGATTATGGGAAATGTACTAACTTAAATGAATACAAATTAACTTTACTGATTTAACTGCATCTACATTTGTATGTACATATGTATGTGTGTGTATACACATACACACACATTTTAGAAGTTTTTACCTAAGAATTGGAAAGATCAACAGGAGGTATAAAAATCAATTCACTAAAAAAATTCCATAGCAGTTTTTGCTGTCTAGACCCAATTCAAAAGATAAGGTGACAAAAATGTTTGCAAAAAATTTTATCTGATCTATGCTTGCCATTTAGCAAATATTAAAAAGTGTTTTTGCTTCTCAACACTAGAAATGTTTCAACAGTTGTAGAGTTGATCTTATATTTACCTGCTACCTGAATGTGCTCAATTAGAATATGTGGTTCTGGCAGTAGTGAAGTTTGTGGCAACATTCTGTTTTGGCTACCACACAGTTTATCAGTCAAAGTATGTTATTAGGGTGTGCCTTCAATACATACAAATAACTTTTCACCTCTGGATAAATTTTAGAAGAAATTTTTGTCCTAAGTATGGGAAGGTATTGTGTTAGGAAGGTGTTGTGTTAGGAAGGTGGAACAGGGAACATGGTTTTAAAATGTGAAGACCACACTGTAAATCTTCTAGAAGAATAGTCACAGGACTTTTAAAAGAAAATATTAGATAAAGAGTCAGATTTTGTGTAGGACAGACACTAAAAGTACCAGAAAAATTTAAACTTCAGAAACTTTAAAAAGTATATATATAGTAAAACAATTTTTCTGAACTTCCCCAAAAGAGAATAACCCTTATAAAAACCAATAGCTCTCTCTATGTGATCCCTTTCAAATTTTGTTGAAATGAAAGACAAACTGTGCATGAGTATGAATTACAATGTATCTGCAGAACTGTGATCTCTGATCCATTTCATTTAAGAAGAACTTCTATCTTGATACCGAATTGACCTCAATCACCACAAGTGGCTTATTCAGGTTTGTTCTACTTCTGACTTCTATTCTACAGTTATAATGTGAATTCTATAGCAGGAAATACTGGCTAATAACAAAATAAAAATTATGGGGCTAATCACAGAATAATAAAAGAAGGCAGCCTGTAAATCTTTGTGAGCTCCTTTTAATTTTTGAATAGGTTCTTAGCTGTCTTGGATATTATTATATTGTCAAAGACTTTTCAAATGTGAAAAAAATCCCTTCATATGACTAATTCACATGCTTGTTAACCATCCTGGTTAGCATAGCAACATTTAGGAAGTTGGGAACTGGGATAGTTGGAAATACTGGACAGACATTTATAATTATTTTTTTCCAAATTAATGGCTAAATGCTGGCTTTGCATGCACTAGGAACCTCTACGGGTGCTGATTCCTGTCTGGGTGCTCTGCCTCCCATACAGATCCCTGCTTGTGACCTAGAAAAGCAGTAGAGAATGGCCCAAGTCTAGGGACACTGCATGTGTGTGGGAGACCTGGAGGAGGCTCCTGGTTCGTGGCTCTGAACAACTCAGCTCTGGCTACTGCAGCCACTTGTGGAGTGAGCCAGCAGATGGAAGATCTTTTTCTCTGTATTGCTTTCTCTCTGTATAACTGACTTTTCAACTAAAAATATTTTTTAAAACACCTTCAGTATTACTTCTTTTTTCTATTCCTGGATTCAATTTGTGACTCCAGATTCCTGACAATGCAGATCCCAAAAGGCAATGGTAATGGCTTTAGCAATAGGGTCCATGTCACCTATGTGAGATCCACCTTGGATTCTTAGCTTTCAGCCTTGCTCCCCAGCCTTCTCCAGAGCCTTTGCAGGTACTGGAGGACTGAGCTAGGAGATGGCACTTTCTCTGTTGTCAGTTGACCTCTCAGTTTTATTTGGATCATGGTGACTTCAATGTGGGGTTACTTAACAATTTTATTGGTTTCTCGATTGTCAAATTAGGCCATCATTACTGAAAGATATAGAGGACAATCATTTCTCTAAGAAAATTTGATCAAAAATAGAAATCCCTTCACATATTGAGTGTGCTATTGTTTATATAAAATTATCACAAACGGATAGTCACAAAAAAATAGTCACAAAAGGAGTGGTTAAAAATGAGTTGAATCCACGCATTCATTTTGTCCGCACAGAGCTCCGTGTTCCAAAAAGGAATGCTTAATTTATGAATAAAAATGTCATTACCTTAGAGTAATTTCATTGCTTTCATCTTACAGCCAACTGAACTGCCTAGCTCAGACACCTTCATTTTGTCATCTGTTCAGGCATTTACTGAGTGTGTTCTATCAGACACCTTGCTAACTGTGTTAAAAATGAGTGAGATAACCATCCCTGACTGTAAGGAGTGTGCACTTTCATACAGGTGTCAATTTGTTAGATTTCATTTCCAGATTGATGCAGACCCTGAGAAAGTTTATTTGATTTATTTAACCTTCCTGGCTAGCCAAGATTCCTGCTCATCAGATGAACTTATACAATTGTCATCTTACATACAAAGTCAGCTACAAAGTTGTATTTTTTCATGACAGGTAGTAACCTTGAAAGTCATTATCACTAGATAGCCAGAGCGAGGAAGAATTTTAAATTCTTGACTGCTGCATGTAAATTTGGTTTGGTGATAACCTTAGGATGTTATCTTAGCCGCTTCTCCTTTTCGATTTCCTACTGCAGAATCAAAAAGTAATTTAAGCTCTTTTCAAAAATTTAGATGCTCGGGCCCAGCATAGTAGTCTAGCAGTTAAAGTCTTCGCCTTGCTGGGATCCCATATGAGTGATGATACTAATCCTGGCTGCCCCACTTCCCATCCAGCTGCCTGCCTGTGGCCTGAGAAAGCAGTAGAGGATGGCCCAAAGCCTTGGGACCCTGCACCTGAATGGGACAACTGGAAGAGACTCTGGCCTCCTGGCTTCAGATCAGCTCAGCTCTAGCTTGGAGAGTGAATCATCAGATGGAAGATCTTTCTCTGTCTCTCTTCTTCTTTATATCTGATTTTCTAATAAAAAAATTAATCTTTAAAAAATTTTGGATTTTCCAGAAAGACATTTACATTAAATACTAAATTACTTTTCATTTTATACTAGCTTTTCTTTTTCTGTGCAGAGTCTATGACCCTCTCATGGTCTCAATTCTTAACAACTTTTTCTTTTACTCAGTAGCTCACTGAACAAACCAAGTCTGAATTTCCTGTGCACCCCACTGATGTTCAGATGGATTCATTCATTGTGCATAGCGTGTTATGGGATGGTATAAAATTATGCTTCAGATCAATTTGCAGTTTACTTATGAGTTATAAAAAGCAACTGGCAAAATGATTTTCAATTTTTTTCTTTCAATTTTTGACTGTTTTACACACACACACACACGCATGCATAAAATACACTACAATTCAAAGGACTATTATGGAGCACTTACCGTATCATGATAGGGATGAATGTATTTTTGCTAATGGTGTGATTAGCAGAAATAGTCAAGATATTTTGAGAGCTTCCACATCCATATTGAACTGTAGGTCTTCCTTCCACAAGAAACAAATGAAGAAACTGTTTCCCAAAATTACTCTCAGTACCTTTAAGAACAAATGATACATTAATAATTAACATAGGTTTATATTTTATTCAACAGCATCATTCATTTTACAAACTTAATCTTTGCTCTCAAATCTCTCTGAATTATGATTCAGTGGGATGGAGAGCATGTTAGTAGGTCATTACTCAATGACATAATTACCATATTAAAATACTTATTATTTCCCACAAGCTGACAATGGCATGGCTTAACAGCATTAATTTGACATGAATTTAACTTCTGACTTTGTTAGTAGATAGGTGTACATTAGTATTTAATCTCGTCCCTCATATGTTAAAATGGGATAAAAAGTAGCTCTTAGAGCCAGTGTGATGACTAAATAAACTTTTAAGTTGAAAATGTTGGCACATATGGTAAATAACTTCAATCATTATCAATATTAAACCTAATGTGCAAATTTTATTAGTTCTCAATTCTTGAAATTGTATTTTAACTACAGAGTAGTATGTTTTTCACAAAAGTTGAAGTAACAGAGAAATTAAGAGAGAGAAGTACTCCTCTCTGTTCTTAATCTCCATTGAACTTGGAGGTAATTTTCAATCACCTAACTATCTACATACCCATACTAATGTATACTAAAAATAATTAAAAGTAGGATCTTTATTCCCAAATTCTTGTATAGCTTTACTCATATTTGTTCACCATACAAAAAATTTAGCAATCTCTTCCTATAAATGCATAAACTTCTTTGTTAATTGAAGTATAGCTCATACGTATCACAGAGATGATAAACACACCGCTCAGTGAGTTATCACAAAGTGAAGTCACTTGTGCAAACACAGCCTAAGAAAAAGGCATCAGCAGCATTGTCAAAGTCTTTCTAATCATTACTCCCTTCTTTCCCTACAGAAATGAACCACTGTTGTGAGACTTAAGAATGATGTTTAACTTTACTTAAGTTTTAGTAGAATAGTACTGTATGTTCTTTTTGTTCAATACTGTGTTTGAGTTCATGCATTTTTACTGTTTTTATAGTATTTCATTCATATTTATAATTCAGGGCCCAGCATAGTGGCCTAGTGGCTAAAGTCCTCACCTTAAATGTTCAGGGATCCTATATGGGTGCTGGTTCTAATCCCATTGGTCCTGCTTCCCATCCATCTCCTTGACTGTGACCTGAGAAAGCAGTCAAGGACTGCCCAAAGCCTCGGGATCCTACACCCGTGTGGGAGACCTGGAGGAAGTTTTTGGCTCCTGGCTTCAGATTGGCTTAGCTCCAGCCTTTGCAGTCACTTGGGGAGTGAATCATTGGACTGAAGATCTCCCTTCCTATCTCTCTTCTTCTCTTTATATCTGACTCTCCAATTAAAAAGACAAATGTTTAAAAAATATAATTCAGATATTCTCTATATTCTAGATGCTCACTTCTATAATTTTTGGTTATTATGAATTGTGCAGCTTGTTAATTATATGTATATATACATGTCATATATATGTCAAATGTATATATTATAAATGTTATATATAAAGTTTATGTATATACAATTTTTTTTAAAGATTTATTTTTATTAGTTTTTTTATTGGAAAGGCGGCTATACAGAGAGGAGAGACAGAGAGGAAGATCTTCCGTCCGATGATTCACTCCCCAAGTGAGTGCAACGGGCCGATACTATGCCGATCCGAAGCCAGGAGCCTCTTCTGGGTCTCCAACGCGGGTGCAGGTTCCCAAAGCATTGGGCCGTCCTCGACTGCTTTCCCAGGCCACAGGCAGGGAGCTGGAAGGGAAGCGGGGCTGCCGGGATTAGAACCGGCGCCCATATGGGATCCCGGGCGTGCAAAGCGAGGACCTTTAACCACTTGCGCCACCGCACCGGGCCCTATGTATATACAATGTTCAGATGGATATACTCCTGTTTTCTGTCTCTGTATGTATATATATACAATGGCTGTTCATATTTAAATCTTTGCTAACAGTGTACAAGAGTTCCTTCTTTCATAAAATTTATTTATTTGTTTAGTTAGATGAAATTTAGGATCAGAGAGTAGGGGAGAAACCAATCTTCCTTCCATAGGTTCATTCTCCAGGGCTGGTTCAGGTCAAATCCAGGAGCCTGAACTGGATATGGGTCTCCCTGTGGGTGGCTTTGACCCAGTCATTTGGGACAACTTCCACACTCTTCCCAGGTATATTAGCATGCAGGTGGCTTTAAAGTGGAGCAGCCGGGGGTCAAATATTTGCCCATGTGGATGCCAATGTAGTAGGTAGTGGTAGTCAGGAGCTACAATGCTGGCTCCTTACTATCATCTGGTATACTAACCTTACAGAGTCTACCTGTATTGTACTTAGTAGAGTTTCAGATTTTATTTTTCTGATCCTTGGCAAATTTGAAAATATTCTTATATTCACTATCTATTTTAAGATGTTCCTTGGTGAAATATCAGTATATACTTCATTGCTTTTTTTTGCTTCTTGGATACAAAGTTTTCATTAGTAATATTTATCATAAGTATTTTCCTCAATTCTCAGATTCACTTATCAAACACATAAGGCTGAATTTGCTTAATTTTAGCTTAGGTTAACTTATAAATTTTTTCAATCATCGTTATTAGCTGAAGTCTTTTTTATGTCAGATTTAAGACTGCTTGTTCCAAAGTCATAAAGTTTATTGTACTAAATTATCTTCTGTAAGCTTTCCTTAAATTTATTCTACCTAGAATTGATTTCTCCACATATTATAAGTATGGAGTTTTGTCAGGTTGAATTATGGTCCTAATTGCCTGCACCTGTTAGTGCTACCTTGCAAAAGAGACTGTCCAAACATGATTAAATTAGGTAGTTATGCTGTGGTAACTGAGCTTGTTCTAATTGCAATCACTAGTATTCCTTTTAGAGCGAGGCAGGGGAAGATCTGAGGATGGACAAGGAGATGGCTATGTGACTGTGAAAGCAGAGACAGAAATGGTGCATCCACAAACCATCCAAGGGTGGTAGCTACCAGAGCTAGAGGAGTCCAGGAGTGGATTTTCCTCTGAAATCTACAGAAAGAAACAAGCCCTGCAACTTGACTAAAGCATTAAAAACTCATTTAGGAATTCTGACCCATAAAGAGCAAAGAAATAAAATCATATTTTTTCAATCACTAAGTTGGCTGCAATGTACCACACCACAAATAGAAAACTAACACATCAAATTCCATTTTGCTATTTTGATTTCTAATTGATCTAAAATCATCATAGTAAGTGATTTTCAGAATTATTAACTTCTAACATATTTGTGTTGTGTATATTAACTGTTTTGAATAGTCATGTTTTCTATTCTTATTAGTATATGCTATTATGTATTTACAATAATGCTTTTGTTTTGCGCTCATGTACTATAAGAAGCACCAATAAAAGTGTCTTAAATCTCTCCAAAATCGCAAGCATCAGAAATGACATTAATATTTAGTGAACACTTCTATAGATACGAAAATTGATTGATGCATAAAAACGCAGAAAGACTTTTATGAGACCAATATATTACACAATTATTTCAAAATGCAAACTTGGTTACTAGCTCTCAAGTTCCTAAAGAACCCTTTAATCACTCAGAATCAATTGAAAAACTCAAAAGTTCTTCCTATAATTAGCATATTTTGACATAGACTTGTGATTTAAAACACAGAATTTTACATAGTATGTGTCTGGCACAAAGGCTCAATGGCTAAATCCTCATCTTGAAGTGCTGAAATCCCATATGGGCACAGTTTGTGTTCTGGGAATGAGGGAGGATGGCCCAAAGCCTTGGCACTCTGCACCCATATGGAGACCTGAAAAAGAATTCTGAAATTTCCAGCTTCAGGGTGGCTCAGCTCTGGCCATTGTGGCCATTTGGGGAGTATCTTCCCTCTTTCTCTTTGTAAATCTGATCTGCCTTTCTAACAATAATAAATAAATCTTTAAAGAGGATTTTACATATTATTAAAAAATTCCCTTACATGTTAACCTTAGTGACATGTTTTCTAAAAGTTACTATACTTTTAAAACATTAAAAAGGGTAAGAAGCAAAGTACATGGTGCTATTCTATAACTTTGCAAGTATCTTTTATGTCAAATTTCACAACAGATAGTTAAAATTGTTTTCTACTTCTGTAATTAATCTGCTGTGAATTTTTGATGTGGATGAAGAATATGACATCCAGTCTCACATAGGAATGTAGTTGGAAAGGAATGGTTATTTTAGTAATCTTTTTCAGACATGCACAAACTTGGAAAAGTCCTTTAGCTTTCTTAGAGTTTAATTCCATTGTGAAAACTGAAGCTATGTTAATGAACTTTGCATATGCTATCAGATTAAAATCTCATTAGTCTTGTTAGTACTTAGAGTGTGTTTTCTCCATGCACGATTCTGTAATGTTATGCACTGACTGTTTGAAAAATAGTTTCACCGAAGCATGTAGATGTCTCAAATATTGATGTATTTTATTATACATTGTAAAAATTAATTAATATTACTATTGAAATGATCAGAAAGTGTTAGGAAGGTCTCAAGTTAATTATGAAAACTGTAGAGTTTCAAAAGTACCAATATTTTGAATGCTTAGACTTTATGATTAGTAGCAAATACTGTTAGCAGTTTTCCATGCATGAAGTGATAAGCTTGTCTTATTATTTTTTTGAGAAAATAATTACCAAATACTCAACTCTATAAAACCACAGTTTCTCTGTTCATCCCTTTTCGGTATTGCACATGTGCTTTCCCTCAACATTTACTGTATTAAAATTTGTACACTCATGAGTTAAAATATACAAAATTATTATATTTAATTACATCATTAAAAACATTTTAAAGTGGCACTTTTACTTTAGGTGCATAGTGGAATACACCAAGAAGACAGGTGGTATGATTTAGTGCCACTCTCTCAACTTTAAGCGACCAGCAGTGTTCTGCATCATGATTTTTGCATCATGAGTGCAAGTGTAAACAGAGATACTGACTTTCTGGACAGCCCGAGGTGTAGGAGATCCTCCAGGAGTCTGCACACACCCATGGACTATCTC